CTTTCAACGGGATGATACATTTTATAATAAGCCTCAAAAGGGATACTTAAAATAAAGATCGAATGACTAAGTAGCCTTATAAAAGCACCAATGAAGTGGAATAGAGAGGAATGTTAACCGTAGTGACCAGAAGCGATTGAGACCGGACTGCTAGAGCCCAACCAAGACAAAACAACGAACTAAATACTCCAACAAATGGAGAACACGCACCAAAAAAGAAAACAAACACACATCTAATCAAACTATAGACTATTACCTCCCCAACTACAGCAAGCAACTCACAACCCAGATGATAACGAAGCCAAAAACCACAAACGACAAAGCCACAAACAGGAAATAAAGCGCGACAGCACCGAACTAAAAACTCCACGGAAGCGGCTAGATAGCGACACAAACCCAGCCCGAGAGGGGGCTTCCACGGGCCCTCTCGTACTCACGGTCCTGACCGCTGCAGAAAATTAGAATTAACATAGTGGTTTCAAAAATGAGAATCTAACATTTTCACAACCACGAATCAACACAAGTACACAACACCTTAAAAACCAGGGAATATCATTATGGCTTAGCCATAAAACTTAAACAGTCTAACCATAGGTCCCGACAGAAAACTAACAATCTTACGAATCAAGCACATGACGGCGCAAAATATACTTACCTAAATAACAATATTATGCGTGAGGCTGGCCAAAGACACTTGTGGTCGGACCTCAGACAACATAGTCCAAGACAATAAATGGTAAAATAGTTCAAGATATGGAATAATTCCATTTGAAGGCCAGAGATATTATAAAACGTTCAACGGAAGTAAACGGATATCTGAGGGATATCAACGTCATTATCCTCATCATCCTCACACGCCACCACCACATCAAGGTGGTTGCGGCCAGGTGGCAGATCCACCTTTGCCACATCCCTTGCCAGCTCAGCAACCTTCCTGTCCATGCGTTCCTTGTGCCGAGGGAACATGCTGTTGTACAGCAAACAGCTCCCAAACGAGATACTGTACGCATTCAAGCCCTTGTCGGAAAGCCACCGGAGAAGCTCCCGGAGAGTGGGGTCACCTTTGATGATCCACCGGTCCCACACAGTCCAGCTCATGTCCCGGTGCTTCACGACCTTGGGAGGCACAGGCTCGGCCATTGAGAACAGCGGCAGCGCCAGGTTGGCAAACGTGTTGCGGTAGTCCTCTAGCTTGTGGGCCCCACTTATGGCTTTGTAGAGCTCGAGGCAGACGAGGCCAGTGGCCATGGCAGTTGAGGTGGCGATGGCAGGGATGATACGTCCGGCTATGAATTTGGCTTTCAGCTTGTCGACTTCGGGAATGCTGTAGTTTCGGGCCCGCATGTTGGCGAGCGCTGCTATCAGGTCCATGTGGTAGTTTGTATCGTCATCCTGTGTGTGAAGAGGGATTTTGTCAGATAATATTGCAAAATAGTCCCTATGAAGAATGGTGATATGTCTGAGTTATTCTCCTGACTGTTTGATAAGTCTCTTGGCAATAACATGACGTTATACTTGCTGTATATGTAAATTGCAACAGCAAAATAACAGTGATGAATAATGAATAATAGTGTAAAAGGTAAAGAGTATGAAGATGAGAAGTGATGGATAAATATATAGAAAAGATGGACAAGTCAACATTCATCAGCCATCACTTGCATATGCATATTTAATATGCAGCAATGAATATCCAAGAGATAGATGATCCACCTATAAAACTATTCAGAAAGACTATCGAAAAAGCTAACAATGAGAAGGACCACCATTGGTCTTTAATGCACGTGCGAAAGCTTCTGTCAGTAACATTTTCTGTAAAATGAGAAAAAAAAATTTCACCTGCACCAAGGAGTAATATATATTACTGGCAAGTTCACTAAACAAGAGACATACCTTTTCAAACTGAATTGGTTTCATCCTGAACATAGCTGGCATGGTCGCCCTACACTTTTCCAGCTTCGTAATTAACTCATCAATAACAGCAGCATCATCCAAAGAAGCAGCAGCAAGACTAGTAGCTTTTTCATCAGTAACAATTTTGACATCTTTTTTGGGTTGGAAATTAGGTACAATGATTTTACCAACAGCCTCAGCTAGTTTCTTAGAGTTCTTTGCCCAGTCAGGCATGGGAATGCCAAATGTCTTGGCCCGCAAAATAGATGCAGCCATAACAAAATGAAGATGGCTAGGGTCAGTGTTTGAGAACTGCAGGGGATGAGGGAAACGCTTCGGGGCTGACCAGAAAGGTGCACCAGTACTTGTTGCAGCATCTTCAGGGAAGGTGAACGTCAACTGCTTAACCCTGTTTGCAAAATAATCCTCAAACCTGACAATCAATAACAGTAAAAAAGTTAGAAACACTGGAAGGAAAATTCATTCATAAACTCAAGAAAATTATAATACGAAGAATTACTTTAGGCGAGCCCATGTAATGCAATCTTGGAATGATTCACATCTCTCCTTGTCGAGGCACTCAATTACACGTTCCAGATTGTCTCTGGCTTGAGCATCCCCGGCATTTTTCATTGCAGATGCATACTCACCCGGATTAGAAAGAAAAGCATTTACTTCAGCAGGTGTCTTTTCAAGCAGGCCCTCGAACTCTGATCGAGCCCATGTCAAGCAATGATCGATATTGTGTGGGAAGGAGTGGACAGTGCACATGGGTGCTTGTTTCTCTGGAGGGTCTCGAGAAGCACCATAATTTTCAGTTAGGTGAGGTATGACCATTTGGGTATTGCATTTGGCACCTAAGGTTCCAGACTCAAGAAGGGGTTTTTGGAAGTACAGGCATCTCTGGTCAACATAAAGCCTAGCATTAACATTGTCAAGGGCATTAATCACAACACTGAGATTCTCCCAGAAGGCATCATAAAAAACATTCTCCGTTTCGGGGCCCACCCGATTCTGTAAAGCTTCAATGTGAAGAAGAGGGTTTATTGATAAGGCAGCAGAAGCAGCAACAGTGGACTTCGGCTGCCCAATGTTCCAGTCTCGGAAAAGGAATTGCCTGCTGAGGTTACTCTTCTCTATTACATCGTCATCAGTGATAGTTAATTTCCCTTGTTTTCCACATGAAACTCCCATCAGAGCTAAATTTTTCAGAAACTCACAGCCAAGGGCACCAGATCCAACAACAAAGACCTTTGCATCTTCTAGTTTCTTTTGAAGCTTAGAACCAAAGACTGAAATCTGGGCATCGTAACGACTATTTAAAGGTTTGAAATCACTGGGATCTGATGTATCAGTGGGAAGTGATTCTATGGAGTCGAAGTAAAAGAACTGCAAAAACATGACATTATAGAAGATTTAGCATTACATCATTTCTGCAGCACCCCAACAATAGTTCGTAATAAATAGCTTGAGCTATAGTATGAAAATGAAGAATCAAATGATTCACTTTTGCCAATAAAGTAGAGTACCAAAAAGTAAATAACATATAATTAAATAAACAAATTCCTATAGTACACGAAAACAATTAAAAGCACACTGATACATATATAGCAGGTGAACCAGCAAATAATGCTGCTCTTCAAGTTCCAAGAGCATACAGGATAAAGAATTCCTAGCAATTTGGCCCCTCTTACCATCCATATGGACCCAGTTCAGGCCATTAGAATGATGTTGCAATATTTTCACACACTAAATTTTTAATACACCTCAAATGAAAACTTTTAAAGAAACGTAACATAGCCACCAAACAGGCAAAAACACAAGAAGAAAAAACAGACTAAAGAAAATGAAGTGACAAAATATATAAGCACAAGAAATGATAATCACCTGAAATAGCGGATGAAACTTTCCAGAGCATGCTTTCACAACCTCCTGCCCCACAACGCCACCAAACATGGCAGCCATAGGATTCAGAACAGCTCGGGCACCAAAAGCAAAGTGTCTCAAGAGTTTTGGATTAATATCATCCAGTTTCCCATCACCAAAGCTCTCATTCATGTCGTTAGTTATTGATATCAACCTTTGGGCATCCTCTTCAGAACCAGCAACTGGGAAACGCCCCAATTCAGACACAAACTTATCTAGTGATTGGAATGCCAAATGCAAGAGGGGCGGCCTGTCAAACTTGGAGAAATCGGAAAGAAGGAAATCACCAGGATCTTTGATTGCTTCTTTCAGTGGCTTAAATTTCAAAACCTTGGGCTGTTTTACCTGAGTCACAATACCACCTCTCTCATACCTACCAAAATTAGTTGTATCTTCCTCAAGGGTAAAAGAATAAGGACGGGCATTTTTTATTTTTCTTGGCTTTCCATCATTGAGTTGTGTCATTCCTCGAATTTCAGAGAACACAACTAAGTCACCATCCTGGAACTCCAGTCTTTCATCATCCACACAACCCACAAGAGAAGGATTGTCGTTACTTATAGATGCAATGATACCTGTATGAGGTTCCTCACCATCGACATCAAAGACAGTGAACTCAGGTCCAAAATCACAGAAGGCACTACCAAAAAGGCCTCTCACTTCTGTCTTGATGAATGCGATAGGAGGCTGATGGTTGTGGCAATATTCATTAAACTCAATTGCACGCTCCAAACCAATGTCAGTAAATACCACAGCCTGCATTTGTAAGTGTAACACAGATTAGTAACAAAAAACTGAACCATCCACCAACTATAAACAATGTCTAAGGCAAACAATCAAATCCGGACTAGCTACAAACGTGTAAGCAACTACAAATGCCTAAACTGATGAAATGAATCATAAACTGTGTAAATGTGACTATGAGCCACAGCTTAGGTACGAATACTAAAAGATTATTACCACTTTGCAATAATCTCAGATGTTATTATGTCAAAGAGTCAAGTACATCTGGAAAACAAGTGAGCACACTTTTGGTGCTAGAAAGCCATTCCAACATTATCGCGGTTCACACATTTGTACAGGAACACTTTTGAAAGATAGGATAGGTGTTGTCAAGACGAGAAAATAGAAAATTGGCTAAAATAATTGATCTTTGCAACACCGGGATACATGATATTCTCCCAAGGTTATTTATCTATGCATGACAACACTAGGACAGCCTTGGTTTGGGACTGTTCAAAGAGCACATACAAGTCAATATATTGCATGCTGTATCCTAGAATTAAATTTCACATCAAAGCATTTTCTCAAAACTTTGAATGAAGATATTGGTGTTAGTTTATGAATGACATATATATTGCATTTATCATAAGAAAACTGAAATGATCTTGACATGCATTTTAGTGTTTATGAAGCAAAAAATACAAATTATTTGTACAGGAACATATAAGCTAAGTGAATGATGAAGCCAAGACATGAAGGCAAGTCTGAGTAAGCATATTTATAAGTAGCTTATATCTACACTATTATCTCATTCATAAATACAGTAAAGGGCAAAGAGTAGAAAGCTGGGAGAAGCTCTCTCCCTCTCTCTCTCTCTCTCTCTTTCTCTCCCTCACACACACACACGAAGAGGGAAGAGGTTCCAATTTGTAAATTTGTGTCAAAATATCACATTGCAATAGATTACCTGGTAATGACAAAGTTGTTCTACACTCAATTTTGTAGTCAACGTTGAGATAGCCACAGCATTATTGAGTTCTTGTAGCTTCTGAACTGAAGCAAGTGCCCTGTTCTTACCCAAATCCTTTTCCGAGAAAACAAAGCTACTGGATAAATCCCACAGTTCAACTGTGCCTTCATCATGCAATGTCACAGACTTCACACCAGCCAGGATAAGGTTCTTAGCTGCATGTTACAAATTCCAGATATAATAACCCTCATAAAAATTTCTCAGCCCCATTAACTCAAATATATTTACTATTCATGATGTTAACAAGGTTGCAACTGAAACTAAACACTCATAGCAAACTAGAACTGACAACACCAGCAATAAACAGCAGAGGTTAAACTAAGATGAAATATAAGACCAGCAATAATTTTTCTTTTTTCTTTTCTAAAAGGAGGATCAATAGCGTTCCCACTTCCCCTCCTCGGTGACTCAAACCCATGACCTATCGGTCATAGGTGAAGCGTCTTACCACCAAACTGTGCTTCGTTGTCTAAGACCAGCAATTTCATCACACTATCATACGTCAAATTCAAGTTACCCAAGAAAAATCGTAATCAAAATTCCAGCAGAACCTGCATAACAAGATCAACGGGCACCATGGCAAGCATGCAGACAAGTTCAAATGGGAACAATCTGTTCTTTCGAAAAATTCATCTCGTTAAGTGAATCCAAATTTTACTATAGCTAATCACACAACGTCGTAAAGTCAAGAACAATAAGATCTGAAAATTCGCATTCACCTTCACCATCAAAACAATCCGGGTAAAATATAGTTACTACCATCCTATTATGCTTTGATAGTAGAAACATTTCATACCAATCTCAGCACCGAGGCCCTGCATTCCAGACACAAGAACATTCGATGCGAAAAGCCGCCGCATTGTCTCTCGCCCATACACTGCAAGCTGACGGCTGTGAAGATCCTCATCGATATCATGGGTTTTTCCATTTCCAAACGCCATTTCTGTGATCGTTGGTTCCTCCGAACTTCCGGTGACCTTAATGCTACTGTTCCCTACACCCAAGCTATCAATAGTCTCACTGCTATTTGTCTCCTTGGTACTTTTTCTGTTAGTGGGGGAGGAACAGAGGCACTGTTTCTTGGGTAAGCTCTCAGAATCACGACCGTTAACAGCCTCGCCTTCCCCTTGTCTCTTTCTAGGAACCATGTAGTGAAATGAGCTGCAAAATCCCCGTCCGATTTCTATCCAAAAAAAATAAAAAATCACTGAAAAGCAGCACAAAAATGTACAAAAAGAACAACAACTCGGAATCCAAACGCTCCNCAAACGGAAAAAAAAAAAAAAGGAAAAAAAATTAAAAGAGAATGGCGGCTCTATTAACAGTTCACCACCATGATCGGCGATGAAAATCACAGAAGAAAAGAAAAAATCAAAAAACACTATCCTAAATAAATGCGTCGCGGACATTGAATCCATCTGAAAACGTCTGAAGATTAAAAAACAGCAACGATTCCAAAGACAACAGAGTAAGTAAAGAGAGATTATTACATTTTACAGCTGTGGAGAGGAAGGAATGAAGCTCAGCGGATGATCGAGAGAGCAAGCTATGGAGATCGAGCGACAATGGAAAGGGAGAAATGTTGGGAAGAGAGAAATGTGACTTGGATACTCAAAGAAAGTGCGAGCTTTTCATGGGATATATGACGAAGGCTCGTGTTGTGTGACAATTTTCTCGTGAATGGGTTTTTGTGGGGTTCTTCGAATTTACAAGGCCATTGCAAAAATCCACGAGGATAAAAATTCATATCTAGATTCTAGATAAACATAAATTTTAACGTTTAAACTAAGATTCGGGGAATATATATATATATATATATATATATATATATATATATATATAGAGAGAGAGAGAGAGAGAGAGAGAGAGAGAGAAAGAGGGGTTATAAATTTCAAACATAACAAATTACATATTTTAACATACATTTTTTTTCTACGATTTTTTTTAATGATTTATTCACCCTTTTTTCACATTTACATAGAAAATATTTATGTTGGGCATTGTATTTGTCTTGTAATCTTCAATCAAATACTATGATCTAATGTGTTACATAATTTTTTTTGGCAAATATAATAAATTAAATAGATTGTGAATCATGTAGGAAAAATATTAAATTTACAACTATGAAATTATAAAATTATCTTCATTGCATAATGTAGTTTAACTACAATAATCTACTTACCACATATTAAAGTTTTAATAAGAAGTAAGAAAAAATTGATAAAAATAATTTTCTATTCTCTTTATTGGCTAGCTAGAGTGTTGAGGATGTGGATGAACCACATTCTGCATCTATATTGTAGACATCCACTTCACCCTAATATTTATGATCACATTGTAGAGGATGAAAAGTTGCGATATTACTAAATGTGTTGATGTGGAATATAATATTGTATATCACAACAATATTTGAGTATTGGAGATGCTCTAATATTAATTGTTGTCAACCTCACGTCACATTAATTGGTGGACATATTAACTCGTGTCTACCGTGAGTGAGTGAATGCAACTACATAATAATAATAATAATAATAATAATAATAATAATAATAATAATTATAATAATAATAATAATAATAATAATAATAATAATAGCAGTAGTAATCACTAACTAAGCTTTGATCAACTTATTTTGGCCTTTTGTTAATCTGCCATTTTATATTTATATTGAAATTTAATAATGATGCATGAGTCCCAACCAAACTAACTAAGCTTTAATCAACTTTTTTTGGCCTTTTGTTAATCTGTCATTTTATATTTATATTGAAAATTAATAATGATGCATGAGCCCAACCAAATAGGTGACAGGTGAGTGGGAGACTATAAATAAAGTTACGTCGTCCTTTTTTATCTCTAACCAGTTCTATGAACCATATTTCTGAAAATTGAGGTTGATATAATTTATTATCAGAATTTTTTTATTAATATTTATGAAAAATAGGCTCAACTTATAACTCATTTTATCTCTGAGAGCTAATAACTAGATAAGTGAATAATATTTATGAAAAATGAGGATAAGACTGTCTCACCACAGGTAGCAGCAAATAACCAAATCACAACAATCTCATAAAACAATCACACGACCACACACAACAATATAATGCACGAGGCAGGCCAAAAGACTCGCGGAGGTCAGACAACAGTCAATAACAATAGAGATGGTATTCAGACAGACAACAAACATATAGTTATTCCAATTTCTCATAATACTTGTCTGAACAGAGCACAACAGTAAAAAAAAGTAAAGGGCATTTCAGATATGGAATAGTTCCATTCGAAGGCCAGAGATATAACGTTCAACGGAAGTAAACTGATATCTGAGGGATATCAACGTCATTATCTTCGTCATCCTCACACGCCACCACCACATCCAGGTGGTTGCGGCCAGATGGCAGATCCACCTTTGCCACATCCCTCGCCAGCTCAGCAACCTTCCTGTCCATACGCTCCTTATGCCGAGGGAACATGCTGTTGTACAGCAAACAGCTCCCGAACGAGATACTGTACGCATTCAAGCCCTTGTCGGAAAGCCACCGAAGAAGCTCCCGGAGAGTGGGGTCGCCCTTGATGATCCACCGGTCCCACACAGTCCAGCTCATGTCCCGGTGCTTCACGACCTTGGGAGGCACGGGCTCGGCCATTGAGAACAGCGGCAGCGCAAGGTTGGCAAACGTGTTGCGGTAGTCCTCAAGCTTGTGGGCCCCACTTATGGCCTTGTAGAGCTCGAGGCAGACGAGGCCGGTGGCCATGGCAGTTGAGGTGGCGATGGCAGGGATGATACGTCCGGCTATGAATTTGGCTTTCAGCTTGTCGACTTCGGGAATGCTGTAGTTTCGGGCCCGCATGTTGGCAAGCGCGGCTATCAGGTCCATGTGGTAGTTTGTATCGTCATCCTGAGTGGTGAAGAGGGATTTTGTCAGACACAACACATAGAACATGGCGATTGATGTTTGACTCTGTGATATTTGTATCGGAAAATAGTCCTATGATGTATGATGGAACAGCCAGTATACAATGATGAAAGGCGTATGAAACATAAAGAAGTGATGGATAAATAAATAGAAAGGGCAAGTTAACCTTCGTCAGCGATGAGTTGCATAATCATCTTTGAATATGGAACAATGATCCAACATATCGGATGATGAATATGAAAGTGGTTTGTTATGAGTGCGAACGTGACAAGTGATGAATGTGAAGAAAATATTCGTCTACTGTAGCTTTCCATATGTTATTGTCATAACGATTATTGATATGAAGATTATCCTCCTATAAAACCATTAAAAAAAGCTATTGAGATAGCTAACAAACAAGGTTGGTCTTTAAGTCACACAAGGGAAAGCTTCTGGGGAACATTTTCAGTATAATGAGATAAAAGTTTAACCTGCACCAAGGGGTAATATATACTACTGGCAATTTGCAGAAACAAGAGACATACCTTTTCAAACTGAATTGGTTTCATCCTGAACTTAGCTGGCAAAGTCACCCTAGATTTTTCCAGCTTCATAATCAATTCATCAATGACAGCAGCATCATCCACGGACGAAGTAGCAAGACTGGTAGCTTTTTCATCAGTAACAATTTTGACATCTTTTCTGGGTTGGAAATCAGGTACAATGACTTTATCAATAGCCTCAGCTAGTTTCTTAGGGTTCTTCGCCCAGTCAGGAATGGGAATGCCGAATGTCTCGGCACGCAAAATAGATGCAGCCATAACAAAATGAAGATGGCTAGGGTCAGTGGTAGAGAACTGCAAGGGACGTGGAAAACGCTTCGGGGCTGACCAGAAAGGTGCACCAGTACTGGTTGCAGCATCTTCAGGGAAGGTGAATGTCAACTGCTTCACCCTGTTTGCAAAGTAATCCTCAAACCTGACAGTAAATAACAGAAAGTTAGAAACACGGGAAAGAGAAGTCAAAACTAAACTCCCAAGAAAATCATAATATGATGAATTACTTTAGGCGGGCCCACGTGATGCAATCTTGAAATGATTCACATCTTTCCTTGTCAAGGCACTCAATTACACGTTCCAGATTGTCTCTGGCTTGAGCATCCCCGGCATTTCTCATTGCAGATGCATACTCACCAGGATTAGAAAGAAAAGCATTTGCTTCAGCAGGTGTCTTTTCCAGCAGGCCCTCAAACTCTGATCGAGCCCATGTCAAGCAATGATCAATATTGTGTGGGAAGGAGTGGACAGTGCACATGGGTGCTTGTTTCTCTGGAGGATCTCGAGAAGCACCATAATTTTCAGTTAGGTGGGGTATGACCATCTGGGTATTGCATTTGGCACCTAATGTTCCAGACTCAAGAAGGGGTTTCTGGAAGTACAAGCATCGCTGGTCAACATAAAGCCTAGCATTTACATTGTCAAGGGCATTAATCACAACACTGAGATTCTCCCAGAAGGCATCGTCAAAAACATTCTCCGTTTCGGGGCCCACCCGATTCTGTAAAGCTTCAATGTGAAGAAGAGGGTTTATTGATAAGGCAGCAGAAGCAGCAACAGTGGACTTCGGCTGCCCAATGTTCCAGTCTCGAAAAAGGAATTGCCTGCTGAGGTTACTCTTCTCTATTACATCGTCATCAGTGATAGTTAATTTCCCTTGTTTTCCACATGAAACTCCCATCAGAGCTAAATTTTTCAGAAACTCACAGCCAAGGGCACCAGATCCAACAACAAAGACCTTTGCATCTTCTAGTTTCTTTTGAAGCTTAGACCCAAAGACTGAAATCTGGGCATCGTAACGGCTATTTAAAGGTTTGAAATCACTGAGATCTGATGTATCTGTGGGAAGTGATTCTATGGAGTCGAAGTAAAAGAACTGCACAAACATGATATTAGAAAAGATTCAGCATTACATCATTTCTGCAACAGCCCTTAGTTCGTGATTAATAAATTTATTGCTGAATAGCTTGAGCTGTAGTATGAAAATGAAGAACCAAGTGATTCACTTGTACCAACGAAGTAGAATACCAAAAATAAATAACACATATAGCAGGTGAACCAGCAAATATTGCTGCTATTTAAGCAATAAAGATGGCCAAAATAAAAATCAGATGAGTTCCAAGAGAATCCAGAGTATAAAATTCCTACCAATTTGACCCCTCTTCCCAGCCATACATTTCAGGCCATTAGAATTATGTTGTAATATTTTTAGACAATAATGAATAAACTATTAATACACCTCGAATGAAAATCTAACAAACGTAACATAGCCACCACCAATAACTACTGCCAAGTGCCACACACCAATCAAAACAGGGAAAACACGATAAGAAAAAATAGCATAAAGAAAACGAACTGACAAAATATTTAAGCACAAAAAATGATGATCACCTGAAATAGCGGATGAAACTTTCCAGAGCATGCTTTCACAACCTCCTGCCCCACAATGCCACCAAACATGGCAGCCATAGGATTCAGAACAGCTCGGGCACCGAAAGCAAAGTGTCGCAAGAGTTTTGGATTTATATCATCCAGTTTCCCATCACCTAAGCTCTCATTCATGTCACTAGTTATAGATATCAATCTTTGAGCATCCTCTTCAGAACCAGCCACTGGGAAACGCCCCAATTCAGACACAAACTTATCTAGTGATTGGAATGCCAAATGCAAGAGGGGCGGCCTGTCAAACTTGGAGAAATCGGAAAGAAGGAAATCACCAGGATCTTTGATTGCTTCTTTCAGTGGCTTAAAGTTCAAAACCTTGGGCTGCTTTACCTGAGTCACAATACCACCTCTCTCATACCTACCAAAATTAGTTGTATCATCCTCAAGGGTGAATGAATAAGGACGAGCATTTTTTATTTTTCTTGGCTTTCCATCATTGAGTTCTGTCATTCCTCGAATTTCAGAGAACACAACTAAGTCGCCATCCTGGAACTCCAGTCTTTCATCATCCACACAACCCACAAGAGCAGGATTGTCGTTACTAATAGATGCAATGATACCCGTATGGGGTTCCTCACCATCGACATCAAATACAGTGAACTCAGGTCCAAAATCACAGAAGGCACTACCAAAAAGGCCTCTCACTTCTGTCTTGATGAATGCGATAGGAGGCTGGTGGTTGTGGCAATATTCATTAAACTCAATTGCACTCTCCAAATCAATGTCAGTAAATACCACAGCCTGCATTCGTAATGGTTATACAGATTAGTAAGAAAAAAACTGAACCAACCACCTAATGTAAGCAATGTCTAGCAAACACTCAAATCTGGACTATCTACAAATATGCGCAAACTGTGTAAATCTGGACTATCTACATATGCCTGAACTGATGAAATGACCGTAAACTGTGTAAATGTTGAATATGAGCCACAACTTAGCCCAATTCTGTAAGAGAACTAATCCATTATTAACATTTCGCAATAATCTCAGATGTCATAGTGTTAAAGGATCAAGGATAGCTAGAAAACTTAGTGAGCAAACATTTTGTGCTCGCAAGGCATTCCAACATTATCAGGGTTCACATACCTGTACAAGAAGCACTTTTGCAAGATAGGATGGGTGGTTATTAAGACAAGAGGAAACAGAAAATTAGCTTGAAATAATTGATTTTGCAACACAAGACTACATGATATTCTCCAAAGGTTATTTATCAATGCATGGCAACACTAGGACACCCTTGGTTTCGGGACTGTTCAAAGAGCACATACAAGCCAATATATTGCATGCGCCATGCTGTATGTAGAATTATATCCCACATCAAACCATTTTTTTCAAAACTTTGAATAAAGATACTGTGGTGATTTATAAATGACATATATACTACATTTACCAAAACAAAACTGAAATGAGCTTGACACTCATTTTAGTATTTCTGAAGCAAAAAATATAAATTAAGTGAATAGAAAAGCTAAGTGAATGATGCAGCCAAAACATGAAGGCAGGTCTGAGTAAGTATGTTCATAAGTATCTTATATCTAGAGTTATCAGTCGCCAATTCAATAAAGGGCAAAGAGTAGAAATCTGTGAGAATCCCTCTACCTCTCCCTCTGTCTCTCACACACACACACACAGGGAGGCAAGTAATTCCAATTTGTAAATTTGTGTCGGAGGATTTTACCTGGAAATCAGAAAGTTGTTCTACACTCAATTTCGTAGTCAGAGTAGAGATTGCCACAGCATTATTGAGTTCTTGTAGTTTCTGAATTGAAGCGAGTGCCCTATTCTTACCCAAATCCTTTTCCGAGAAAACAAAGTTGCTGGATAAATCCCACAGTTCTACTGTACCTTCATCATGCAATGTTACAGACTTCACACCAGCAAGGATAAGGTTCTTGGCTGCATGTTACAAAGTCCAGATATAATGACCCACATAAAATTCCAGGCGAATTAACTTAAACTGATTTACTGCCATGATGGTAGCAATGTTGCAACCAAAACTAAAAACTCATAGCAAACTAGCTAGAAGTCTAGAAATAAGAACACGAGAAATAAACCGCAGAGGTTAAACTAGAATGAAATATATGGTAATACATCATACTCATGTTACCAAAGAGACTGTAATCCACATTTCGACAGAACTGAATCAGAAGATCAACTGGCAACATGACAAGCGTGCAGACAAATTCAAAATGGGAATAATCTGTTCTTTCAAACAACTCATTTCATCAAGTAACTCCAACATTTACTAAAGCTAACCACACAACACTGTAAAGTCAACAACAGTAAGATCTGAAAATTCGCACACCCATGTTCACCTCTAAAATAACCGGGCAAAAAATAGTACTATAACATTCTACAGAAATGCATCAGATAGTGGAAATATCTCATACCAATCTCAGCCCCAAGGCCCTGCATTCCAGACACAAGAACATTCGAAGCAAAAAGCCGCCGCATCGTCTCTCGTCCATACACCGCAAGCTGCCGGCTGTGCAGATCCTCATCGATATCATGGGTTTTTCCATTATCAAACGCCATTTCTGTGATTGTTAGTTCTTCGGCGACCTTACTATTACTGTTCCCTACACCTAGGCTGTTAATAGTCTCACTGCAATTTGTCTCCTCGGTAGTTTTGTTGTTGGTGAAGGAGGAACAGAGGCGCTGCTTCTTGAGTAGGCTCTCGGAATCACGATCGTCAACAGCCTCGCCTTCCCCTTGTCTCTTTCTAGGAAGCATATAGTGAAATAAGCTGCAGAAAACCCGTCCGATTCCCATCCACAAACAAACAAACAAAACACAATATCAGCACAAAAAATGTATAAAAAGAGCAATAACTCGGGATCCAAACGCTTTCTCAAACGTTTTCAACAGTTTAAAAGAGATCGGCGGCTCTATCACCAGTTCATCCCTTTCATCTCGATGAAAATTACAGGAAAAAAAAATCAAAAATCACAATCCTAAAATCAACGCGTCGTGGATACTGTATCCATCTGAAAGCGTCTGAAGATTAAAAAAGAGCAACGATTCGAAAGACAACAGAAGAAGTAAAGAGAGAATATTACCGATTACAGCTGCGGAGAGGAAGGAATGAAGCTCAACGAATGTTCGATAAAACGAGCGATGGAGCGACCATGGAAAGGGGAGAAATGTTGAATACTCGAAGAAAGTGAGGCTTTGGTGGAATATATATTTTCTTGCGAAAACGGGTTTTAGGGTTTCTCCGAATTTACATTTTGCAAGACCACAGCCCGAGTGTGGGAGACTCGGCATGGGCGTGGCGCATCTGGGTCCGTTAAATGATAGTGCCAAACGCCAATAGAGATTAGCGGTCCAGTAATAGATTTTGGTAAGATGAGTAAAATAAAATACCCAATATTCTCATAAAATAAAATACCCAATATTATATTACTTGTTAAAAAATATGAGTATATTGTTGTTAAAAAATTTAAAAACATAAATTATTTACTTTATCGCCCATTTTTAATTTCTTGTAGTATGTGACGTTGAAATGTGATATAACAGATATAATAGCTCGGGTGAGCCGATTCCAGTGAGCTCAGGTGAGCCGGTCCCAGTTAAGTCGGGTAACATCGTTGCAAAATCTATTAGCTCAGCTAAAATATAGTGACCTAACAATAGCTTGAAATATTTCCTAGTGGTTTTAACCATATTACCGACCTACGAGTGATGTGCATAAGGGACCTAGGGAAAATGTATCTGGTGAACTTGTGGACAGTTAATATGTGAGGACCTAAGGACAATGTATTTGGTCGACCTACGGACAATTAACGTATTAGAATTTAGGGACAATGTAATTGGGAGAATCTACTTACATTTTATATGTGAAGCAACATTCTTCTCTACTATGTGATTATGTGAGGAGTCAGTCACATCTCAACACAGTCCCGACACAGAAGGCATTGAATACGACTGTTTAGGCTAGTAATTGATTCTTCACTCACTCAATTCTAACAACTGAAATCCATTCCCAAACTGCACAATAGTAGCACTGCAATCTATGAATCACAGTAAAAGCTTACGTAAACAAGTGCAAAGAATAAAGAAAATTTGATTCTATAAGACACAACGCATAAAAGCGACTGAATTAGTCACCAAACACATAAAAATAAGACCATACATTAAATATCCAAAAAGATTCTTTCTATGAGGGCGTCGTGCGCCAGCCCGAACTGATCTAGTGAGGGTAAGAAGACTGACTCCGTCTGTCTCTGAGATTCGAGAATAACGTATGCCATATATATATCTGGAAATGTTAATCGATGTACGGGAATATTCTCGGTAAGTTCTTTTGCCGAGGTTTTCACGAATATTAATGATTGAATCTTCCGGAATCCCTTGGCTATGCTTACGAGTTGACTAGCGGTTTTTGAGTCAAATAATTGGACTGTAATAAAAGAACCTTGATTGATTCTCATTGTACTCCCTTACTATACTGAAACTCCTTCATCCTTTCTGAAGTTTCGGTGAAAAAATTTTCTCTACCAGTGCAATCAAATCCTTTTGTTAGAACTACTTGCAAAAGTGAGTAAGAAAAGAGTCAGGGTCGATGAAGTTGAGTCAATAGCATGTTTATGACAAAAATAAAAAACATGTGCAAAAGCATGAATAATGAATCCCATACACTATCCCTCAACTCTTTAAGTAGATATGTGCAAACTCTAACTAAATTCGTTGCATTCACAATATCTTTTGGATAAAAGTATAATATTCGTCCGCATACATCACATCAAGCACATCACTGACGAGGGAAAACAAAAAAATCAAGCTAATCAAAGATCTATAATGTCATCCCCAATGTGTATCACCGGACCATATAAGACTAATTTCTTGGTTTAAACCTCGTTCACTTGAAATCTCATCCTTTTTGGTGCCCCATCAATATAGCTCATTTGTTTTTTTCGAAGAAGAGCACAACGTTTATAATAACCTTCAACAACATCTATCAATTGAAAAACAACTCTAAAAAATCAGCAAATAGAAGATTCGTTGTAGCTGCAACTACAAGGGTTAGTTGGAGTTGATGAGACAGACAATGTACATAATGTGCACTTGAATTCTCATTTAAGATAATTAATTTTAAGCCATTAAGACTCCATTGCATATTACTATCCCCATCGTAACCTTGCCCTCTCAGTCTAAATATGCTCAAATAATGTCTCGACGACGTCTTGCCAATAGCATCTTTTAAGAGAAATTGTCGTAGTACTTTGACATGTTCAACTCCAATAATGTTTTTTACATGTCCACAAGAATCTACGTATCTCAAAATAATAGATATTTGTTCTTTAGTCGATATGTCACGAGCTTTATCAACCAAAATAGAGAAAAAAAAAAAAAAAANGGAAAAAAAAAAAAAAAAACTCCAAATAATCGGGGATCTTTGCAAATTATTTGGGAGAATTAGGATGAATATGATGTGGAAAATTTGGTTTTATTGCCACAAGATTTGGAGGGTGATGTGGAAAAATTGGAATGCCATGCAAGCGCCGTCAATGCCAAGTAAGATTTTCGATCGGACACGTCAGCTTGACTTGGCCTGAAAATGATACGGAGACAAATTTGCAACACATAATAAATGTTTGATATTTATTTGGAAATCTAAAAAGCTTGAGTTTTATTTGCAATTACATAAAAGGTTGGGGTTTTATAGGCAATTAAGCCTTATATTTATATTTATATAGATTTTTTATTTTTTATTTTTATTTTTTTTATTCAAGCTTCTATTTGAATATTTCACAAGTTTCCTTTAAAGAACGCAAATAAATGAATCATCATGTAAAGAACAACGCCGTGCTGCTAGTAAGTAGCAACAATTTCACTATTTTCCTTCTGACGAAAATGTCTCCGGCGACCATCAAATCGACTCGTAATCTACGGATAATCCCCCTAATTTTGGCATTATCAGCCGCCGCACTTTCTGAAGTCGACGGCTTAGGCGTCAACTGGGGCACGGCGGCGTCGCACCCTCTGCAGCCGCGGAAAGTGGTGGAGCTGCTGAAAGCCAACGGTATCGCCAAAGTGAAGCTCTTCGACGCCGACCCGCAGGTCCTACAGTCGCTCTCGGGCTCCGGAATCTGGGTCACCGTCGGCATTCCGAATTCCATGCTTCGCGGCCTAAACTCGTCCTTGAAGGCCGCCGAGAGCTGGGTCCACGACAATCTAACCCGCTTTGTCTCCGACGGCGCCTCCAGGGTTCTCATTGAGTGGGTCTTTAAATAAACTTCTCGTTCTGTTCGAATTTGGCCCTTTTTTTCTATCTTTTTGTGCTTTCATGGTTTTCTATTCTTGTGTTTTTTGGGGGATTTTAAATTTTGGCTGACCTTGCTTGGTTTGGTTGTTTGATTTTGCTGTTTCAAGTGGATTATAGTTTGTTAGGTTGGGAAACAAGGTTGTTTTAGGACTCTCTACAGCACAAGAATGTAGATGCTTTTGGGGATTAATTGTGCCATTTTCTTATCCTTCCTTCCTCCCCGTTTGGTAATGAGCTGATGCTACTGGCGATGAATTTTGATTGCTAACCGACATTTATACAATTCTTGGTATATATTATTGGCTGACAAAGTCTTGAACTGTTCGCGTTCTAATTTTGCACTTTTTATGTACTTGCACATTTTTTACCGTAGAACACAAGCTTACTTATTCAGTTGAACTAAAACTGTTGAGTTTTGTCTATTGGAATGGTTACATATATACATTATGCCGTTGACAGGCCAAGATACTCATGAGTTTACTGTGAATACATACATAAGTTGCTACTTAGGTAGGAAAATATTGAAACTTGTGTGAATGAGATCGGCTGCAAGATTTTGCTGTTGCTGCTGCTTTTAATGGAATGCACAGATTTATGGAACTTCGTTTAACCTCGATGACTGTGTTCCTCCATTTTTACACATATTTCTTCACGTTTTGAGTCCCTTGATGCTTTCAGGCTAAAGTCAATATTTGTTCTGTTTATTATAGCTATGTAGCAGTTGGTGATGAGCCTTTCCTCCAAACTTACGGTGAGCAGTTCTACCCGTTTCTTGTTGGAGCAGCTACCAATATCCAAACAGCTCTAATTAAAGCAAACTTGGCCACAAGGGTGAAAGTCGTGGCTCCATGCAGTTACGATGCTTTCCTTTCCGAATCCAATCTGCCGTCAAAATCCCAATTCAGGCCTGATATCAACCGAACCATGACCCAACTCCTCACTTTCCTGAACAGACACGAATCTCCCTTTTTCGCAAGCATGTCCCCTTTCCAGAGCTACCGCGAAAACAAGAACTTCACCCTCGACTTTGCTTTATTCAGGAATACGCACAAAAACATTTTCGATTTGAGTTTGGATATCATCTCTGCTGCACTATCGAATGCTGGATTCCCCCAAATGGAGATTGTGGTCGGTCAAATCGGTTGGCCGACGGATGGTGCACCTAATGCCACATCATCAAATGCTGAGGAATTCATGAACGGTTTGACCGGCCACCTTCGCAACACCCAGCCGGGAAAATCCTCAAAGCGCCAGGTGTCATCGCCTACAGAGGTTTACATACTTAGCCTCTTGGATGAGGATGAGAGGAGCATAGCCTCTGGGGACTTCGAACGCCATTTGGGCCTGTTCACCTTCGACGGGCAGGCTAAATATCGGGCCGATCTTGGGCAGGGCCCGAAACCGCTCGTGAATGCTGTGGACGTACGGTACCTCTCGGCTAGATGGTGTGTGGTCGACAACAACAAGGACTTGTCGAATGCGACTAGCCTCGCTCGTGAGGCATGTGCGGAAGGTGCTGACTGTACTGCACTATCTCCTGGCAGCTCTTGCTCGGGCCTGGGCTGGCCCGGAAATATTTCTTATGCATTCAATAGTTTTTACCAGCAGCATGATCAGAATCTTGAGAGTTGTGATTTCGGGGGCTTGGGTTTGGTGACTACTGTAGATCCTTCGGTGGGTTCTTGCAGGTTTTTTGTTGGGCTGAGTATGTCTTTCGCGGGCCCACATGGGCCCGGGCCTTTTTCGTGGATGGTTTTGCTAGTGACGACTATTTCTTTGTGGGTACTTGTCGAGAGATGGTAGGAAGCTATTCTACCATCTGATTGGTAATATTAGTCATTTTTTTTGTAGTTAATGTTGTACTTCTAGATTCCTCTCTTAGAAATGTTATGCGAAGTTGTTTAATCTCAAGTCGTTGGGCTTTCGGCAATTCTGTTAGCTTCTTGTCGATCCATTTTTCTTCGTTATATTAGAAACGCTCGACTTGTAGCATTTGATGTCAAGTTTATTCTGAGTATTAAAGGACATTTTGTAGTAGTTAGGTGATGTGCTTTGAGTTTTATTAGCTTGCTAATATATAAGGATGAAATCTCAACATCCATCCTTGATGTTCGACCCAGTTGAGGAGGACACGAAGCTGAAGCAAGTTTCTTTAATAACTAGATAAAGTTGCAAATGTAACTTTTGCAGCTCAATAAAATGATAGTTGATTTCCGGTAATTCTCCCCCCTTTTCACAAAGTTGTGATGGCCTGATACAAATCTTTTCTTTCATTAATAAATACTAGTACGACACCGTGTACTACACGGGTTGTTTGAAAAAAAAAAAATATAAAACATAAAATAATAGGAAAACACATGTTGTTGTATAAAAGTGCAAAAATAGAAAATACCAAAGTCAGATATTATTTTAAATTTTGAAAAATTTCTTTGTACACAACATTAGTAGTTTTATTTACAATTTTTCCATCCTTATCGCTATTGATACCTAATTTTGACCTCGCCTATTAAAATATTATACGTGGATATAAATTAAATAAATTATTTTATTTTTTGGGCCTAAAAATATTACCGCTTGTAATAATATCGGGCCCATTAAATAGATATATATATATATATCCCCGATGATGTACACAGACAGATAAGTCTGAGGGACTACTATTATTTTCTCTCTGAAAAAGAAGAATGTAGGCCGTGCCGCAGAGGAAATATTTCTCCTCCTGCTTCGTTAGCCTGCTTCATCTTCTTCATTGATTTGATACAGTAAAATTCACACAAAAATCCAATACAAAAAATACACAATAAATTACTCCGAACCCCTTTGTTGATCAAATTTCGAGCATCAACAGTTTGGCGCTAGAAGGAGGGCCTCGTAATTGATTCGAGGTAATTCTCTGGCTTAACACCACAGACGCCGTCAATTTTCACCTCAAATATTTCCCTCTGTTCTTTCTCACAAACATGCCAGAGAGACAGATTTCCTCAGCTTTATTGAAACAGTTCTATATCTCTGTTTTAAACACAAAAAACGAAACAAAAACAAAACAAAGAAGCCATCAGATTATTCCCTGTTTCTTTACAAAAAAAAATAAAAATCTCTGCAAGACGATGAAAGTTGCAGAGTACGAGCAGCAGATGAGATAAGAAGAAAACAGTTTCGCTTGCACATGAACTAGACAGAACCACGCCGCTTCCACGACTGTCTTTTATCACCAAAAAAAAAAAAAAAAAAAAAAGAGAAAGAGATGTCTCGATGACAAGACAAGCTTGAAATGGATGCGTGAATTGCGGTAACATCAGTCGAGGAAGTCGAGAGGATCCGCAGCGAATACTATGCTCTCTGACTGGCCGGAGACGTCCCGTAGCAACGCCCACCGCCACCATCAGCACCGTCCACAAAAAGAAATCAATCAATCAATAAGAAGAAGATTGATGGCACCGCTTGGGAACGGTCGGTGGTCAGAAACTTTCAATAATAATACACGTTGCCGCTGCTACAGTAATAGACGTTGACGCAGCCGCCCAACATCGCGGGGCCCACCCCATCTTTCTCAAAACGTCTCTAAACACCGACTCGTTTGGCCAGGACTTGACACCTCAACTTCAGTCAATGACGGGCTAACTTTAGAGCTCGGGTGGCACTTTCAAGTTAAGTCGGAATCTCGGGCCGACACCATCATAACTGACCTCAAAGTTAGGCCCGATAACGGTCTGAATGTCTTTCAGATACCGACCTTGAGACTCCCCGGAATACCTCGAAATATGATGTCGGTCGCCGAGACCCAACTTTATTTCGCTGGGATCCGATTTCACTTCTCCGACCTCGGTACTGTTATCGACCTCACAGGTAAGCCGACTTTAATTGCAATGGCCGACCTCAATTGTCAGTACCTACCGACTTCAAATTCGGGGACACGTCGGGGGTTGAATTTTTCGGACCTCATAATTGGGAACCAACAACGCAACGTCACCGACTTCCAATCGGGCCCGACCTCTTTAATACCGAGATCCGACCTCAATCAACGATCGACTTCAATTTCATTGGCTGACCTCAATCCACGGCAGCACGAGCTCGGATCTCGGAAATTGTAGATGGGCTTACCTCGACCCGGACCTCTAAAATCGCTAACTTTACCTGTGCCGCGATCCCGACATCCTCGACATCAATGCCCGGCACTAGCCGACCTCATCGTTGGCATCACCAACCTTAATCATGGGGTCCGCATCACCGTCGGACCGACTTCGCGAGATAACCCCGAAACAGATCGGGCCCAAGCTCAGATCTCTGAACCGACGACTACCGACTTAATTACAGCAGACTAACGTCAAGCCCGACCTCAAAACTGGGCCCACCTCGGTAAACACTAACCGACCTCGTCATCTATAAAGAGAAACTCGGACAATTCTTTTCACCGACTTCAAAAGCCATTCGAGGTTGGTGACTTTACGGTCAACTTCATCTGAGGCCGAACCGACTTCATCATCAGGTCCCGACTTCCGATTATCCCCACCGAGTCCGATTATAAACACGGCCGACTTCTGATTTACTTAGCCGCGGACTCACGACCAAGGCCAACTAAGGTTCTGCAATGTTGGAACCGATCTCATCGCCGTCGCGGGATCCCGATCTCTCCGCCACCATCGTTAATGATTGTTCTTGGCAGCCCACCCTTGCAGATTTCGATAAATGTGTGTGTCGCAGCCCCAATTCCTTTTAATCTTAAGAATGGAAGGCGAATGAATAAAATGGGCTGAGACTATTGGGCCAAAAAATTAGATCCAAATGGGCTAAAGCAAAATGAGAAGAGTGGGATGAAATATTACAACTGAAAGGTGCCAGCACATAAGTCGATGAGGGCTGAAATATTTTTCTACATATTTATACAACATGTTGGCGAGACGACCATATTGGACCAATCTCGCTCTTTCTGGCCGATCTCGCCATCTTTGACCAACACCTGAGCTGCAACTAAAGCCTCAAAGTTCGCTCGATGTTGACATCAGACGTCAAGCTGACGTCACTAATTTATCATTCGCTCGCCTCCGACCTCACTTACCCGCGACGGGCGGAGCCGACTTCATTTATCTACGCTAAAGCCAAAGTCACTCATCTATTTGTGACGCCGATATATATATTGCTCGCCGTGAGCCGCGACTCCGGCTGAGCCGATGTCTTATTATTGCTCGCCGTGAGCTGCGTCTCCGACTGAACCTACGTCTTATTATTGCTCGCCGTGAGCCACGACTCCGGCTGAGCTGATATTTACATTTTTTCGCCGTTGAGCCTCTACTCCGGCTAAGTTGACGCGTATATTACCTCGTCGTTGAGCTTTTCCTCCGTTTGAGAGGGCTTCTACATTTACCTCACCGTTGAGCTTCTGCTCCGGTTGAGCCCACACTGGTTAGGCAAAGTCAATAAGACCTTTCCGGCTGGGAAAAATAAAAATCTTTACGCCGAGTTCTTCAGCTCGGTAGGGAAAAATAAAAATAAGTCGGTACAGTAAAAAAGGTCGAATCTCGAAAAATAATTCGGCTAGCCGACTCTTAAAAAATGAGTCGGAAACAAAATATACCGACGTTCCTTTAAAAAATTCAGCGAGTAAAATAAAATGCTGAATATTTTAGTCGGAAACAAAAAATGCCGACGTTTCTTTAAAAATTCAGCGAGAAAAATAAAATGCTGAATATTTTAGTCGGAAACAAAAAATACCGACGTTCTTTCATATACAATATTCCACTGAGGCAAAACACCTACCGGCAGACAAAGTCAGACTCGACAAAATATCGAGGTAACATCGTTTTTCGTGCATTAATCATTTATTGCACGTACTCATACATTCATTCATACATTCATACGCGCGTCATACATGCATCTTAACATAAGCATGAAAAATCAAGCTAAAATAAATAAAAAAATCCTTAAGACCTACGCTGGTGAGGCGCACTGTAAGACATTATCGGCGGGGATCATTAAATTCCTTAAGGACCCACACTGGTTAGGCAAAGTCAATAAGACCTTTTCGGCTGGAAAAAAACTACAAAACAAAAATCTTTCCACGAGTTTTTCAGCTCGGTAGGGTAAAGCCTTTACTTACACCAAGTTCTTCAGCTTGGTAAGGTTGATACTCGTTCTTATAATCCTTAAAGACCCACACTGGTTAGGCAAAGTCAATAAGACCTTTCCGGCTGGGAAAAATAAAAATAAAAATAATTCGGCTAACCGACATTGGCACAGTAAGAAAGTCGAATCTCGAAAAATCATTCGGCTAACCGATGTCGGTACAGTAAAAAAAAAAGCCGAATCTAAATGAAAAAATAATAAGAAAATCTTTTTCAAACCCTGAAGTTGGTTTGGCAAGGCTAACGCCCTACATATTACATCAAAGATCGGGAACACTCTACCCGACAGAGAAATAATTAAATAAAAATAAAAGACCGAAGACCGGATACCAAATTATCCGATCAGGTCCACATAGTAAAGAAAAACAATCACAAATAAAACAAAAAATCGCGTCGTCTCAATACAACAGAATCGCGAGTCCGGTAACAATTCTGGGGGCCCGAGTGCTCACATAATTTCATATCATTATTACCACATCAAATGCTTAGCGTTCCACGCAAAAAACGCGAAAGACGGGTACCAAATTGCCCGACTAGGCCATCCAGGCCCCATTCAAAATTCCAGAAAAATTGACTATCCACGTCATCGGCTCCATTAATACGTCAGGCCAAAGCCTGAACACAATCAGCAATTTGGCTTTACGGGTTCCAAAATACCCGGCCAACATTGATTATGGCCAAAATTAATTATACACGCGACTTCAGAACAGTTCTATTCAAAACATGCCCTAAAGTCGGGGGCCTACTGTTGATACCTAATTTTGGCCTCGCCTATTAAAATATTATACGTGGATATATATTAAATAAATTATTTTATTTTTTGGGCCTAAAAATAATACCGCTTGTAATAATATCGGGCCCATTAAATAGATATATATATATATATATCCCCGATGATGGACACAGACAGATAAGTCTGAGGGGCTACTATTATTTTCTCTCTCTGAAAAAGAAGAATGGAGGCCGTGCCGCAGAGGAAATCTTTTTCCTCCTGCTTCGTTCTTTGGCCTGCTTCATCTTCTTCATTGATTTGATACAGTAAAATTCACACAAAAATCCAATACAAAAAATACACAATAAATTACTCTGAACCCCCCATGTTGATCAAATTTCGAGCACAACAATCGCAACACAGAATTTTCAAGCCTCTCCTACTTAAATTCAATTTTGGTAATATGGATAATCGAGATGAAGGGGAATCACAATGAAGGGGGATGGTGATTTAAATAATGTAGAGAACAATGACACTTCATTCATTTAATTTAATAATAAATATAATTTTGGAGGGGATCAGATTAAGCAATAATATATTATATTAAGCAATCCGATTTGTTTTTGTTCGATTTCGGCAAAGACTATTGGAGGGCAACAAATCCGCATATAAGAATCTTATTTATTAAGTATTTTATTTTAAACAATTAAGAGATTTACCACCAATAATTACTACAGATAGTATGCCATATGAACACAATAGTGCATATCATCAAAGATGCCAATTATATGAGATTAAATTCATATGCAAGCCAAAATCAATTTGCATATTTCATACTTTTACAGTTTTATATTCATTTTTATTGTCTTTTAACAAATAAAAATGTATAAATACAAACAGAGATCTCAGATGCCACGTAATATGATCAAAATAAGTTGCGAAGTGCATACTTCTCGGGAGTTTTCAAGCATGGAATTGTCAGATCTAAATAACAGAAATGTACTTTCATATTAGTATTCCAAAATTAACAAACAACAAGCCTATTTAAAAGTAAAATCCGTTATGGCAAAAAAAAAGTAAAATCCGTGAAAATAATATACCTGGAGTTATTTTGTCAATAACAGTAAGAGACAGTAGACCAGGAGGAGTAAACTTTGTCTGCCCAACATTAGTATCAAGATAGGCCACTCTTTTGTGCCTGAAAATCAATATCTTGTCAGTTTTTGAGCATTTTCTCCTGGTTAATGAAAAATTTCCACCGTAGATTAATCTAAACAATTAGAAGTCTGCTAATGTTTGCTTGTTCAGCAACTAGAGTACTTCACTCCCAACAAATTCATCAATAAAACAACATGTATTGCAACCAAACATCTCCACAACAATTTGTCGAATAATCTACTCAACAAGAGAACCAAATACAAAGCTGGAAAAAGTTGCAATTTTTAAAATGATCACACAGTGAGCTTCCAAGTAAAAATTTACAGCCATTCACAATTTTTAAAACTCACTCAAACTTCACAACCCCTTTGAATTAGATGTAAAATCAGCTTAGTATAACAAATGTAAGGGCAAATTTCAACACCTTCTAACATGATAAAAGATGTAAAAAGTAAAAACTAAAAAGGTTCCATTTTGTTCTAATTTTTGAACTTTAAAAATGCATTCTTGTACGAATAGTCTTTGATAAGTATGTAAAAGAACGTAAAAAATTCTACAATAATTACACATATTTTTGTCAAAATGTGGTTTGGCAAAAAATTAGCGGTTTGAGTAATTAGAGCCGTTTTACTTTATAAAACCAAAATATGGGTATATCAAACAAAGGAGAAATCATACCAAGAAGCAAGAAACGACACGGCTCGTTTCCCTTACTCAGTTTATCATTACTATTGTGCTCCAGGGAATGCAAAGTACCTGGAAAAACCATCTGGCACATGCAACCCGTATAGCAACCCGCAGGCCCAAGAGCTGGTTCAGATCCTGCCCCATCCCGAGTGGGCCGTGCACCCTGCGGAAAAAAGAACATTTGAAACACCTTATCCTACACGACTCATATAATAGTAGGATTAAGCAAAATACACGGCATTTCAAATTTATCATACACGGCATAATAAGAATAAGAAATATGCAACAACCTTTATATTTCAAAAACATAAATAAAGGTGAAAAAATTACCTTATTTTCCAATGTCGGTGAAGTCCATCTTTGACGCCAAAGGTAATCATTGATGTAGCAAGAGTTGATAAACATTCCTCTTGATGGACAATCACCACTATTTTTCACTGTCTCTATGAATGTGTTCTTAAAATTTGAAATTAAAGTCAGTCAACTAAGGATAAGCACATATTTTCTGCATTTCAAGATCAATATTGTATCAATATTAAAGGAAAAAAATAATAATAAAGTTCCTACCCTTTACCTATAAGTTGTAATTGCGAAGGTGTGCAAGTGTCTATATTCCAAATGCAACTGGCCCAGCCAGACTCTTCGTTGGGGTTAGGTTTCAAATTTACGGTGATCTGAAAAATAATATATTATAACACATTTATTTGATTTATAAAATAAAATTGGTACAAGATTAAGATTTTTTTTTTTTTTTTTGTGCATTAATTTAAAAATGGCCTTACCTGATATTGATCAAAAGCAAAGTTGAGCAGGAAAAGTGGGGTCTCAATATCTCCAATCAAATTTTCGAGGAATAAACACTGCATAATTGAATTTGTTCAACCCAAATCAATATCCAAACACTAGCATGATTGGTAGGAAGGAATGACATGAGAATGGAATGATAATTCCCTTACTCATTCCTTATCCCATGATTGGTATATTTTTTGGAAAAGAATGACCATTCCAATGGGAATGGCAAAACCCATCTCCATGGGATTAGCCATTTCATAGTTCATGGAAGGTTTCTCATTCCCATGTGTGTAGGAATCAATTTTTCAAAAAATAAAAAATAAATATATAATATATATTATAAATTATGATTAAAATATATTAAATAAAATTATTTTAAAAAATAAATTCAAATAAAAAAATTGAAAACTTACTTTTATTTATTGTTTAATTAGATATATTAAATACTTATATAAAAATAAAACTAAAAAAAGCTTTATATATAATTTAAAAATATATTATTTTATTTTTATATATTATTAAAAATATATTATTTTTTATATATTAAAAATATATTACTTTTAAAAATATATTATTGAAAAATATTAAAAATATATATTATTAAAAATATATTACTTTTTATTTTTAAATATTATTAAAAATATATTATTTTAAAAAATAAAATTCAAATAAAAAATTGAAAACTTACTTTTATTTACTGTTTAATTAAAAAATAAAATATATATTATTAAAAATATATTACTTTTTATTTTAAAATATTATTAAAAATATATTATTTTTTATATATATTTAAAAATATATTATTTTATTTTTATGTATTATTAAAAATATTTTAGTTTATTTTTATATATTATTAGTCTTGACTATGATTATGAGTTGGCTATTGAGCATTATTGAGATTTGAGAAGCTAAAGTTTTCACGGTTATTTGAGCAAGTAATTCGAGCTAGGTTTCAAGATTATAAGTAATTCCAAAAGTTTGGAGGAAAAGATTTCTCCGTAGTGCCTTATGTGACAAGTTGTTTTTCTTTGGAAAAAAAATCATTTCAAGTATGAAAAACTGAGTTTCAAACTTCATTAACGTCCTTTAAAATGTCTAAATTACTTTTTAAAAATCGGGGCATTACAAGTGGTATCAGAGCGCGATTATGATTCTGTAGACTCTAAAAATTTAAAAGTTAATTTTTTTTTTTTAAGTTCGGTGTTTCGCTGTGAATGAACAATTTGATCTTGAACGTTTTGGCCATGTTCGGCATTTCAGTGTGAGTGAATAATTTGATCTCAAACGGTTAAGCCAAGTTCAGCGTTTCACCGTGAATGAGAATAATTTGATCTCAAACGGGTTGGCCATGTTTGGCGTTTCACCGTGAGTGGATAATTTGAGTTCAAACGATTTGATTGTTGGGTAGAACGCCACTCCGAAAATGTTTTTGTGTGTGGATTCATCCGCTTAGTCCTTCTGTCTTATCTAGCAATTCTTTCCAAGACATCATCTCAAGGGTGGTCCGTGTTTGATGTTTTGACGATCATAAACTCTTCTTGATCGGTCTTAAGCCAACCAACTGCATCGGCTTAAGTGTTTTCGCCTTGGTATTAAAGCGTAAATGCTTTTGGTCGATCGCTTCAAAGAATGGACGACATTGATCTGTTATTCTGGAAATGAATATGCCTAGAACGATAAACTTGTCAGTAAGTGAATTTCTTAGATCAAAGTATGGGTCATGGAAGTTTTTTGGAGCACCCTTATGCTCTTGATGATGGCATTGGCAGTTTAAGCTTCTGGATATCTCGTCTGGCAGTGTACAAATCCGACAGTGAGGACAAGAGCTGCAAAACATGGGAGAAGGTGGTTGAGTGCGACCTCAAGCCTTAATAGGTCCTAGATTGTGAACTAATCTATCGCCTGTAAACCGCGACTAAGGAACTTGGCAAATTATGAAGGACATGCAATAAAACTCATTATGGTAATGTTATGCGACCGTTTCTCGTCTTCTAATAGTGAAGTGGTAATAGCCTCCGACCTGGGAACCGCACTCTCCCCATCAACCAGAACCAAACTCTCCATATACATCTCCACGTGAAACGAGCCCTTGATCCACAAATGCACAGATTGTTCAAGAAATCCCTGTCCGGATCGTAACAATATAGCCTTTTACGGTCTAAGGTGCACATCATGTTCCCATTGTCTGTGAACCCCACGAACAAGAAATATCTCGGGGTCGTATGAACATTGTACAGCTTCCTCCACGACACCACCTCCCCATACTCCTCCATGGCCCACACATGAGCAATCCCCTTGACCGGGGTGTGGTCCACTACAAGGGCAAGCTTCTCCCCAAGCACTGCCAAGTGAAAGAAGTCCCACTCGCGTGCACTTTCGGGCAAATCTATACCTCCATTAAACACCTCATTTTTCAAATCAAAACAAGCAATCGAAGACTGCCCGTTCAGCCAATGCAAACATCCCTGCTCGAAAGCCTGATTGGTCTCATGAAACAGATGAGGAAAAGTTAGCTCATCTATATTTAAATTCCTCCAAGACTCCAACTTGACCGTGTACATTTCAACCACGGGACCCGGCATAGGCGGGTTGACACCCTGGTTTTTCCGGCTTCTGATTCCACACACATTCGTAATCCTCAACACCTTGTAGTCGTCCGACCCGCAGTCATACCCGAAACCGACCACATAAGTGAAAATAAATGCCTCGAGGAATTTGAGGGACAATTGAGGTTTGGGGAGGGCTAAGTACCTTATGATAGACGGGTTCAACAGTATAATCCCGCGAGCGCGACGGTAACCCTCATGGGACAAACAGATCAACCCGTTGCAAACGCCGATTACCTTGAAATGTTTGTAGCGTCCAGACCTAAATGGGAAATCGATTTCTCGAATGTCTCTGAAGTTTGTGAGGTGATTGCGTATGAGCGCGTAGTGCTCTTTTCGATAGGATTTTTCTCAAGAGATTGGAAGGAAGGAAGGAAGGAAGGAGAAGAGGGTTTATAGTATAACTGCGCATATGCAGTCTTTTTCAAAAATTTTACTTGGGAATTCGCTTTCTTTTCCCTCCCCCTTTTGTTTTTTCATTTTTTTTTTTATATTCCTTTTCTCAAGAAGTGGCTCACAAATACAAGAAATTGGATATTCGAATTGACCGGGCGGGTCAGATACGTAGACCGGCTGACCCAGGCCCGTTGACCGATGTTTTGGGCCTAAATTACAATTGGGCCAGTGTTTACACATGTCGATGCCGGCTATTGGCAAGGCGGGCCCGAACACAACCCAAAACTGGCCTGACCTGTTTTTGGGTCTGACCAATCAACAATTCAATTTCGATTGTTGGATCTTGTAGTAATTGCAAAATTAATGCCAAGATTCACTCGACTCGACAAATTAGTGATTTTTTTGAAAAAAAACTTGGACCTGCTCGTTTGGCCTGCAACCTGTGGATCCGAGCCATAATAAGGACCGTGGGTTCTTGAGCAGAAACCTTTATCCTCTCTGGGCCCCTACTCACAATTTTAAGAAACGTGGACCCACACTATCAAGGCCTTTGGCCATCTCCATATTCAATGTTCTTATATTTTGGTAATTGATCGGGCTGGCATATGGATCAATGGGTCATCTGTCGAATCACCTATCAATTGTTGAATTAGGTAATCAATTTTAAAAGCTTTAAATTATATTTATACTATTTTTATATTATAATTATACATAAAAATAACAAATGCAAGTAATTTATGTGTAAGTTCTATACTTGATACATACACACACATACACACACACACATAATGGCCGAGTCAATTCTGGTTGACCAGGCTGGGTCAATGCTCGAATCGACAAGGTCGACAGGTGGACTGAATTTAACGGGTCTCGTGTTAGCCAATCTGAAGAACCCAGTAGGAGTAGGCCCGACCCACAAGAAATGTTAGTATAGTTATTAGTAACTAGTACGTAGCTCGTGCAATGCACAAGACAATAATAATGAATTGTATAAATTAAAGCAACCAAAGAATATTAATTAGTATATTTTGGATGTTAATATTTGTTGTATCATTTTTTTATGATATATAATAATTTAATATATGATTTGTATGTGTATATTACCCGCTATAAAACATCTATCATTTCTGAGTTCCTATTTTGAATTTAGGAACATGAAAATATAATATACTCAAACATTATCAGTAAATGAAACATACAAAAATACTTCTCTCTATCTTTTCTTACTCATTCATTATTATAATATATTATTTCGATTTCTAAATAAGTGATGGTAAAGTTAAAAAATTGTGGAAGATATTACAAACCGACAGTTAAAAAGAATGTAGTTTACATTATTTTAAAGTTATAATTTTTTTTATTTTTATGTTTTGACGAGATAATTGTTTATTATTGTTATTTCGTCGACCTTCTTTTGAATTAGTTGATAGTTGATTGTATCAGCAGACAACGGATAGTAGATTGTATTAGTTGATTTGACTAGCACATATTAATTAGCAGTTTGTCAACTAAACATTTGATAAAATATATTACGTTGTAGTATCTTTTTTCAATCAAATCTTTCTAAAACAATATTCTTTTGAGCTATTTTAGAATCAGCATTTTGAGTCCACAAAATAATCAAATAACCTTGGAGTCATATTTATTTTTGGAATATTATTGTATTAATTTTTATTCGAACCAAAACTTGAAGCATGTAATGTTGCCAAGTAAGCTTTCGAAGCGCGCGAGCCAGTCATTAGGCTCAATACGTTTTCAAATTATATTAAGGGGGATTAAGAGCTTATTACCACACTTTGTTATGTAATCCTGTATCAATATGATGTTTAGTAGGTGTTAATTTGTTTCACTATATGTCAATTTATGTTGTTCCGTAACCTTATGACAACCGATAGTGTCTCGTAATTTTACGTGTAAATCTAAAAGTATTTCGTCATACAAACAAGGACATTTGTTCATACCCAATAGAACTTTAAAAAAAAATAAGCTTAGATTATAGACATGTTTTATAATTAATTAATTAGTAAGATTTATATATATGATTTACTATACTAATCATCTTTTAAGGAGCTTTGACTGGACATCTATGTTGCATAAATAAAATAAGAACAACAATATAGACTAGTACAGAGCCCGTGCGATGCACGGGGTGTATAATTTTAAGGCTATTTATCCAAGCTTATAATTATATACATGAATAAAGAAAAATGTACGGGTACGTGACCCGTGCGAAGCACGAGATATATTTATTTGGAGAATATTATATTATAAGATGCAATATTCAATAAAAGTTTATAATACGCAAACAAATTGTACAATGTTCAAATACTCGTGCGAAGCACGAGATATATTTATTTGTTTTATGATTTGATAATATAAACAAATCTATACTTAACTTTGACAAATAAAACAAATAAGTATTTTAGTGAATATTTAATGTATATACTAAATAGGAATATATTTGATATAATCAAATACCAAATATAATCAAATAAGTCAAAGTGTACATTTTTATTTGGTATTTGATTCTTTTATTATTAAAATCATTTTATTATACTTACCTTTTTAAAATAAAACAAATAAATCAATTCAATAAATAAAATATTATAATACCAAAATAGTAATGGCAGTTGACTTTTCTGGATAGTAAATGTAGTAAATAGAAATTCCTTTTATATAAGTATAGATTGTATAGTACGGAAATAGTAATGCAATAAATGTTGTTGACTTTTCTTTATACTAAATCTGGTAATGGTATACCTTTTAATATAAGTATAGATTTGATAAATAAAAAATCGATTATCTATTAATCATAGTTAAATACACTAAAATTATTATTAACAAATTTATTCATAAAGCCTATTACATGATATGATTTATAAAATTAATTTTAATACAAAACGAATGAGTGTTACGATATATGGCATCTTAAATAAAATAATAAGGCACCATTTAAAGTAATATTAGTAAAATATAAAATAAAAGGTATACTTTTAAATAAGGTTAAATTATTTAATTAACATATGTGTATTAAATTTGAATGCTATAATAATCATTATCATAAATTTAATAAATACTAATAATCTATATTTTAAATTTTTAAAATTAAAAATTTTCCTGCTACTAGTTGTTTTTTTATTTTTGATAGCTTGGCTATTATAATCTTGGAACAGTCTTTGTTGTCATAGGGTGCGATATGGTCTGGGCTGATATAGTGGTCGTCCTATCAATTTATATTTGTGTGAGCCTCATGGTCGGCCCACTAACTGCATTGCGGGCCAACAATTTTTGGGACCATAATAAGTTGATTCATTCTGATTGCCTAGCAGAAAAGTTTTTGTCATACGCTCGACCGCAGCGGATTATTCCTTCTAATCAAAAGGGTTTGCAGAGAAATATCTCTACCCTTTATCCATTTCGCATAAAGAAATTACCGCAAACCCTAGTTTTTCATTGACGAGGTTTTCAAAATTTCTCATATCGAATCGAGCGCAGCACTTCAGTTTTGAGCTCAGAGCTTCCAGTTTGCTTGTCCGTAGTAGAAGAGTAGATGTCTGGCATGTACGGTCAAGAAGGCGACGGATCTGGCGGTGCGCCGGGCGGTCGAGGAGGAGGATATGGCGGCGGCGGCGGAGGGTACGGCGGCGCCGATGGTGGAGGATATGGCGGTTATGGTGGTGGTGGAGGATATGGAGGAAACAGCGGCGGCGGCGGCGGGTATGGGAACCGCGGGGATAGTGGTGGAGGGTACGGTGGGAGAGGTGGCGGTGGATACGGCGGCAACAGAGGTATTTTGGTTTAACATTTATCTCTCTGCTTGATTTGATCTTTGGAATTGGGTTTATTAGGTCGTTATTTTCTGTTTCGTCTGAACTTTTGTCGTTAAATGATGTTACTTTTATTGTAGGAGGTGGTGGTGGTGGATACCAAGGAGATCGTGGTGGTCGGGGTGGGGGCGGCGGAGGTGGTGGGAGAGGAGGTGGTCGTGGTGGTGGCGGCAGAGAGGGTGACTGGCGATGCCCTAACCAAAGGTAATAAAGCTTCAGATCCCTAGTTGTTCTTAGTAATTTGGTATATCATCTTGATTGTAATATTAGATACAGTGATATAGCATGTGTTACTTTTTCAATGAGTGTTAAGTTAATTGGAACAACTGATTGTCAATTCCGTGAGCCTCGAGGGCCAAATGCCCCAACTGAAATGGCGAACATATTGATATTATGTTAAGGAATGTTCTCAGACCTGTAGCTGAATCTGAAATCAAGGACCTACCCATATAAAGTTTTCCTAGGCAATCAAAATGTTGTGTGTATACTTTTTTCTGGTAGGCATCATTGCAGCAGGGTCCTCAGTTGGCCCTGTAACTCGTATTTATCTATTTGTGGATGTGTTGACCTCATCAAATTGACGATTTTTAAGTAAATATTAGGTTCAATAAAGCCCTTTTTGGGATATGTAAATTTCTGCTGTTAATTGTTTGAGTTCCAATAATGTGTTGCTTGAAGCAAGTTTAAGGTCCCTTTTCCTTTAATTATTTCGTTTCTATCAATTGAGCAACAGTTACAAGTTTTTTTATTTTTTATTTGTACCTCTGTAACATCTAAATAAGTTTTTATTGTTGGAAGCAAATACATGCCCTGATTCCATGCTGTGTGCTTTCTTCAGTTGAACTACATATTGTTACTTACTTTTTTGTGGGAAATGAAGTGATGTATGTATATTTCGTATTTTTTCATGGGAAATGAAGTGATGCATGTATATTTCTCATCCGAAATGGTGACAATCATTCTATTTATCTCTCCTGTGAAATTAGCTGTGAACTGTGTATAGATCTGAAATGAAGTAATATGTCTCTGCAAGACTAGATTCCTGAATGAAATGTCAAATGTATAAACCTTATGTATGAGTTTCCTTACTTATTGGTAGTAATTGATTATGGCCTATGGATGTAGTTGTGGGAACCTGAATTTTGCCCGAAGAACTGAGTGTAACAAATGTGGTGCGCCATCTCCAGCTGGTGGTGATGATCGTGGGAGTAGAGGTGGTGGTGGTGGTTATAGCAGGGGTGGAAGGGGCGGGGGTTATGAAGATAATCGAGGGGGTTATGACAATGATCAAGGTGGAAGAGGTAACTATTATGACAGTGGCAGTGGCCGCAGTGGAAATGGTTATGATGGTGGGAATGGTAGAGGCGGTTCGTACGGTGGTAATCAGGGTAGGGATGAAGGTGCTTATGGGCAGGGTACTCCAGTAGCTCCTCCTCAGTCCTATGATGGTGCAGGTGGAAGTTATGCTCCACCTAATTCTTATGGTGGGAACCCGAATTACGCTCCTGATGCAGTTCCTCCTCCGACAAGCTATACTGGCGGGCCTACGTCATATCCTCCATCATACGGTGGTCCTGCTGGTTATGGTGGTGATGGTGATAGCCGTGGTGGTGGGCGAGGGGGCCATTCTGGTGGTGGTGGACGAGGGGGCCATTCTGGTGGTGGTGGCGGCGGCGATGGTTATAGCCGTGGTGGTGGACGAGGTGGCCAATCTGGTGGTGGTGGTGGTGGTGGTTATGGTAGGGTTTCGAATAATGCGGGAGGTTATAATGCTGCTCCTGCAGAGGCTACTGAAAAGGTCAAGCAGTGTGATGAAAACTGTGGGGATTCCTGTGATAATGCGAGAATCTACATATCCAATTTGCCTCCAGATGTTACCATCGAGGAGCTTAGGGATCTGTTCGGAAGTATAGGCCAGGTTAATTCCAAACCGTTATCCATATGCATTTACTTATTGTTATGTAACCCTGTGATAGTGTGGTGTTATTTCCTGCACTTGTGATGAGGGATTATATTGTTGCTTTTTCTGGGTTTGTATGATATCATATTGTTGTTAAATTTTTGGTTGATGCTTCAATGTGGTTTGTTATCGTGTAAGGATGTAAAAAGCCGACAAGTTTTTTTGGGCATTCACATTTGGTTTCTAGGTGATGATTTGATTTCGAGTTGAGAGAATCATGGCGTTGGATTTAGTAAGTCTTACTTTTCTGTGGTACTAGGTTGCAAGAATCAAGCAGAAGCGAGGTTACAAAGATCAATGGCCATGGAGCATCAAATTATACACAGATGAACAAGGAAACAACAAGGGGGATGCAGTTTTATCTTATGAAGATCCATCTGCTGCCCATTCAGCTGGTGGTTTTTTCAATTGTATGTTTTTGACTTAGTGCTGAAACTGATTATTTTGATATCATCCTGCTGAACAGCAGGATGATATCAATTGTATGTTTTTTTCAATTGTATTTTTTGCATCTCTAGTGGTGTGATATGGTTTCTGCTGAACAGCTCATGAGCTGCGAGGTCACAAAATCAGTGTTTCAATGGCTGAGAAATCTGCTCCGAAGGCTCCTGCGTATGGTTCTGGGTAAGCCAATCATTACTTAAATACTTTTCACCTGCTATTTAGGTTTCATTTTGAAGTATCAGTTATCATCTGTGGAAGCTGAACTGATGTATATGGTTGGTTGTATCTGCGTTGAAATATACACATCTTTCAATTTAGATGTTATTACTGCCATGCCATATAAAATGCTCTGAGAAATAGTAAAATGCATTGCATTGAAGTTGAACTACGAGCAGAGTTTATAAACCTCGTAGTCATGTTGTTTGTTAGAGAAACATTATACTTTTTCAACATATGCACCTGTACGAGATTGTGAACTATGCCTCTTACGGGCCAAAGAATTACGAAATACGAGACTCTAGAAATGCATTCAATCGAGGGGGTGAGGAATTTAGGCCAAATACCATGATAGACTCCCAGATGCACAATTTTGATATGAAACCTTCATGAAAATTTAATCATTATATGGGCACTTCAAATATATGTCATAATTTAGTGATTTCTCTTATATGTGAATCTTTGAGCAGTCTTTGGTCAAATGTTTGGGGATGTTGGAAATTTGTTGAGATGAGTATGGATTTGGTCTTGTTTTTCTTTGAGTGTATACTCTTTCTTGGGTCTAGAGACTCTAGATCCTGAAGAAGTGATTTAAGATGGCGCTCACATCTTCATATATTAGACCGTAATGAACTCGCGGTCAATTGGGGCCATGAGATGGGTCCATTAGCTTCCTCTCTTTTTTGTATTTGTTTTTTTTGTTGACCTATTTATGGATCTGTATGGATTTGGTCTTGTTTTTCTTGGAGTGTATACTCTTTCTTGGGTCTAGAGTCTCTAGATACTGAAGAAGTGATTTAAGATGGCGCTCACATCTTCATATATTAGACCGTAATGAACTCGCTGTCAATTGGGGCCATGAGATGGGTCCATTAGCTTCCTCTCTTTTTTGTATTTGTTTTTTTTGTTGACCTATTTATGGATCTGGTAAGGCTACATTAGATCAAAGGATGTTACAATTTTCCATATTTTTACCCATTAAATTAATCAGTTCTGGCTTTGTGAGTCAGTGTAACTGTTTTTTCTGTGCATCTTGATTTTTATGATTCTTACTTCGACTTCACTTTTTGCACATAAAAGTAAAATACGGCTGATTTGAAATACCATGCTGTTATCTTACTGCTGTTGTGCTGCTGGATGATACAAAAGTAGGTAATTGTTGATTGAGGCTTGTGCATTGAGCGATATGTTCTTCAAACAATTTGTTTAGTAATCTTGCAGCTTGGAAGATGATTCCGTGGTGATCCTGGATAATGACACCACTTGGATTCTGTATCTATCTTTATATTTGTCGATTTTGAAACACATTTATGTGTTGCTATATGTTTTTATACGCTAGTCTTTTATTTGATTAAATTGCTCATTTAACAGAGGTGGTGGTAGAGGCAACTATGGTGGCGATAGACGTAGAGACAACTACAGAGACAGTGGTTCGTCTGGTCCGGATAGGAACTATCACAGTGGAAACCGTTCTCGTCCTTACTAAACTTCAGAAGTGCGCTATTATGTACTAATATTTGTGGTTCGTCTGGGTTTTTATTTTTGTTCCGTAAGCAGAGACTTGTTCTCTAACTGCATATCAGAGGTAGGTTGTTTTACGCTTGCGATTTTAAGTCTCAATTCTACATCTGTTTTTTAAGCACTTGGTGGGGTGTTATTCATATGGCTTTGGATTGATTTTAGCTATATGAATGTTTTTATAGAAGGGAAGTGGATATTCTCCAAATTGCTGCTAAAGATATTTTAATCATCAGGTGAGTGTTGCTTTCTGAAGTTTCTTTTATTTTCTCGAGTTTCAATATCTGCTTTGATGAGTTGGAGTTGGAAGTCCTTCCATGCAGATGCATTTCAATCCTTTATTTTTTTTTTCTCTTAATCGTTTTGCTGTTATATTGATGTCTGAAATCTTTGCTGCTTTGCTAGGTTTTTCTCTGTGGGATATATATTAGAACATCCATAATTTGTTCTGTATATTATGAACTATGAAAGTTCTGCTTCTATTGAAAGTGTGCTCAAAATGATAGTATTGTGTGCTTTTAGTTCCTGATTATTTGTCTTGTTGAGTGACACAATATGTACAGTGAAAATAACTGATATATTAATGATCTCAAAAGACAAAAATTATCATTTAAAAAAAATATAATTTTTTGTTATGAGGGGGCTTCACTATTTAGGCTTGGATAAACTAGTTAGATTATGTGAATAAAAATGCATATCTATAATATTAAATGTCATATTTCTGTTGAATAAAAGCTTTTTAAAGTATGATTTTTTTAAAGTAGGGAAAAGCTCCTTCTATTCCANNNNATATTTTTTGTGGGTTCTTTAATAGATGCTTCTTTTTTTAATTGACTAATAGTATGAGCACTAAATTGTGCTATTTGTCTGAAGTCTTATTCACAAAGTTTCTCAAGCCTTGTAAATCACGACTGGTAATGGGCAGAATTCCAATATTGTGCTTCGATGCCCTGGGACAAAGGTTATATTTTCCAATTGGGTCTTAACCATTTTCAACAACCCTTACGGCTCTTGATACTGATTGGGAAAAACTTGTGATACATGAAACAAAGATTTTTGTACAATTGTTAGCTGTCTTTACTTAGGTGGGATTTTTGATTGCTTGATTTTAGAAGTAAAAATTGGAAATGTCAATGTTAACTAAGATTTTCCTTGTCGTATCTTGTTTCGCTTTCGGACGCCCCTGATGACTCGAGTATTATGAGAAAGACATGTTGATATGACAGCTGTCACATTTTTTTTAATTATTATATCAAATTATTATATCAAATTTTTAAATATAGAATTGTGAGCTACTTACCCCGTCTCTCATATGTACTATTTGATTTCATTGTGATTTCTTGTCAAATTTTCTCTTGTATGAATAATATATAATTTCAGAAATTTAGAGAAAGAAAAGAAGGCTAATTAAAAAAAAAATAGTGATTAGGTAACTTTGAGGTTTATAAAAAGGTAAAATTTCAATTAATGAAGGAAACCAGTTGAATCCGAAGCAGCTAAAGCTCATGAACTCTCTCATGTCTAAAAAAGTGTTCTTTTCAATATGAAGACAACATGCATTGAATAAATCCAATACGCCTTGTCTTCAGAATAAAAGAATCTCACATATCTTCTCATGTAAGTGATTAAGCTCATTGGAATCACATCATACCTATGTGAGTGCACTAAGGCTGCTGTTAGACTTTTATACTTCTTAATCATATTTGTCCAAGTATTTGTGTATATTTAAATAATCTAAAGTAAAAATTATAACACAAACAAATATACCAGATTTCACAACATAGAAATACATTTTTGTCAAATAGTTGATGTTCAATTCTGTTAATGGTTAGACCGTCTCAAGTAAATTTGTGATGTGCGAATATAACTTTTGCTCATCGAGAAAAGGAAAGTAGGGGTGATGGGTCTTTAAAATCAACGTTTCCAGTCTTCTTTGTAACCTGATTCTTTTGCCATAATTAGAAATGTAGAGCAGCACTAATGCTGTAAATTGTTCTTGCCTCACATATTTTTAACTGAAACAAATGATATAACCTATCTTTATCTTATACCCACAAGGCCACAACTCAGGAGCTCCAGTTTCTTTACGAACTTCTTAACTTGACGAGATGGAAAAATACTAAAATCTTTTACAGGCACGTAGACTATATGGCGAACTATTCTATAGAGATAAACACAGATGTGATTTACCCGACACAAATACTATATTATTATTATTTAACAAAAAAATACTATTAATC